CCGTTTATTTTATTTTATTATTGCTTATATATATATATATATGTGTGTGTGTGTGTGTGTGGTTGCCTTTCCTACTCTCCTCTTTCCATTAGTTGTCCCTCGCTGTGGGTGGTGCCTCGTTTTTGTGCTGGCGACTGCGCCGTTTCTCCCGCGACGCGGTCGCAGGAAGCGGGGCCCAGCGGCCCCTCGGAAGAACGTGCGGCCCGGCGGGAGGCGAAGCGGAGGAGAAAAACTTCTGCTCGAGCTCCACCGTTCGTCTTTGCCGAGCGCTTGACGTTTGTCCCCAAGCGGCACCCCCGTTGGCGGAGGGCAAGTGCGGTTCTTTTGGTTGTTGTTGTTGATGATTCTTTTTTTTTTATCCCCGAGTGAGCCTCCCTGCGTAGTGGGCAGCCGCAGAGCACAGCGGGGCTCCCTCAGGGCGGAAGAGGGGTCCGTAAAGGCCGCCACTTCGTGACTTCACGAGGAGAGCCCGAATGCCACAAGCCGCATGCCTTTTACGAGTCCGCCCTCGTTTGCGTGTGTGCGTGTAGTAAGTGGGATGAATCCCCCTCCCCCATCACTGGGCGCACACCGCACGAATCTGTGAATCCCCACCCTTGCATCTGCCCCCTCTCCCTCTCCCTCTCTCACATACACACGCACTTGTAGGGGGAGGAGGGAGCAGGACCGCCGCCAGTCGCGTCTGCACAGTCGCACTTTTTCTCGCCGACTGAAAGAAGGCGGCGGCACACACCTACACACACACACACACACGCCTATCAGCTTGCGATGACTGCCGCGGAGTCGTACTCTTTCGCCATGGTGCGCGGGGACGTGTTTGGACGCGGGCCGGCGAACGCCGCAAGACGGCCGTATGTGCCGAAAGGGTCGCGCGTGCACCTGAGCGTCACCGCGGCGACGACATCCGTCCCGTTGGGGGCGTCGCAGCAGCTCGGCGTTCCACGGCGGCTGAGGAAAGGGAGATGCGGCGATGGCGAGGGCGGCGAGGACGATGGGGCGCGCGGAGACACAGCGGCGCCCGACAACGAAGGCCCTGTGCCGGTGGCGTTGATGGGGCTTATCTCGACGGACTCCTCGGCGGGCACGCGCCTCGTACGCCGCACCGCGGTGGGGGGGAACGACGGCGGCGGCAGCTTTTGGGACTCCGACGCCGTGCCGTCCGGCCAACGGATTGGCTGCATTCAACTCGCCCCGGAGAGTCGTGCGGAGATGCTCCAGTTCAGTCCTCATGCGGCCGTGTTTCCCTCGCCGCGGTTGTACGTGGCGGACACGATAGGGAATGTTTACTACGCCACACTCCCCGCCACATCCCTGGCGGAGATTAGCGATGAGCCACCGAAGAAGCGGCCGCGCAGAGGGACCGACACTGACGACGCCTTCTGGAGAACTGTTGCCTCCGCGACAACATCTGAGGGCGGGGTGACGTACGGGGCCCCTGGATGGTGTGGGCTGCTGCCGTTTTCCTCCGGGCAACTTGTCTGCTGTCGAGAATTCTTCTTTGACCTTCGTCTTGTTGACGTGCCGGCTGGAACTGTAGTGCGGCAATACGGTACAATACACCCAGCCACCGGTGTCACGGCCTGCTCTGGAGTACCTCACGGCGCTGTGGTGGCGGAGGGGCCGGTGGCCACGCTCTACGACATGCGCTGCCCCGGCGCTGCCCTCACACTGAGCCCCGACAGCACGCGGGAGGTTCCACTTGTCACCAGCCGCTTAACGAGTCCTGCGTCGTACGTAGCGGATGTGTGTGCCACATGCAACGACTACGAAGTGGCTGTGGCGGTGGGGCGCTCGCTTTGCGTGCATGACGTGCGCAAGTGGAGCCGTGTGAGTGTTAGCACGAATACCCTGAAGTACGAAATCGCCTCCATCGCCGCGTTCGCCTCGGGCAAGGCCGTGGTTGTCGCCGGGATCGACGCCGAGGTGCGGATCGTGCCACTGCAGAAAACCCCTCCCGCCGCTGCTGCGCCGGCGAGGGCGGCGGGCAACGGACTGCCGCGGAAGGAGGAGGATGCGGCGGCGGCGTCGCCCGCGTCGTTTAGGAACCGCCTCGACTCGGCGGTGTGCTGCAGAAGCACGTGGAACGGCGGGTGGGTGGCGGGCCTTGACGGGGTCTCCGCCACGGGGGTGTCGGCGGACCATGAGGTGTTCGTTGCCTTTTAGCCGCCGCCGCGGGCCGGAAGGGCAGCGGCAACCGAAGCGAAGGAAGAACCACAAACTTCATAACGAAGACATGCGAGGAAAAAGAAAAGGAGGTAAAAAAAAAACGAAACGGAAAAGATGGAAAGAAAGAAAAAAACACGTGGGAGCCTTTGAGAGACGCCGCGCCGCAATTCACACGTGCAAATTGGGGTGAATTCCACGCGTTTGTGCCCCCGCCTTGACCTACGCCCGCTGCTTGCGGACACCTACACACGACGTGGGCCCGTCTATGTGCGTTCAGCGCGCCCCCACGCGCCGCATCCAGGCCTCCTACGGCTCACTTCAGTCAACGCATTCCCCTTGCAAAGCATATATGAGGCACACATGCATTTATCTCTCTCTTTTTTTTTTTTGCTTTCTGCGTTGATTGGACTTAGAGGAAAGAAGAAGCCATGACGCTCGGGAAGAACAAGCGCATCAGCAAGGGCGGCAAGCGCGGCAAGAAGAAGGCGCAGGAGGCCATGAGCCGCAAGGAGTGGTACGACGTGGTGGCCCCAAAGAACTTTGAGGTGCGCCAGTTCGGCAAGACCATCTGCAACAAGACGCAGGGCACGAAGATCGCGGCGGACTTTCTGCGCGGGCGGGTGTGCGAGAGCAACCTGGCGGACCTGAACAAGACGCAGGGCGACGACGACGCCTACCGCAAGGTGAAGTTTGTGGTGCAGGAGGTGCAGGGCCGCAACCTGCTGACGCAGTTCCACAGCATGGACATGACCTCCGACCGCGTCTACTTCCTGCTGCGCAAGTGGTGCACGACGATCGAGGCGGCGGTGGAGGCGAGGACGGCCGACGGCTACACCCTGCGCCTCTTCGTGATTGCCTTCACGAAGAAGCAGAGCAACCAGCTGTCAAAGAACTGCTACGCC